AAATATTTAAATAATATGAGTTAATAATTATTCATAATTTTATCTTATATAAAACGTTTGTCAATAAGAAGCGGGTGAAAAAGAAGGCTTCAACTTACTTTAGTTTTACAGTCACCTGTCTTGGTTTATCAGTTATATCACAAATGTCTCCATTGCCATAGAAATGTGATACCATCCTGAGTTGGAGAAAGCATAAACTTTATTAAAGTCTCACTAATCAGAATAATTGTAATGGGCAGTGTGGGAAGATGGCTAGGGCTCTTAGGCTATAACACAAAATCAGTCTTTCAGATTCTGTAAGAATACAAGTTAGAGATACCTTGTACTATTTTTTTTTGAGTCAGGGTCTTATATAGCCCTGGCTGTTCTGGAACTCATCATGTAGAGCAGGCTAGCCTCAAATTCTCAGAGACCTACCTGCCTCTGCCTGAGTGGTGGGATTAAAGGCAAGCTCCACTACTCCTGGCCTGTACTATTTTTGTTAATAATGTCTTTAGTTTACATATTACTTGTCTATACAGTTGTCTCCTGAGCCTAGTGTGCTGGTTCACACCTGTAATACAAGCCGCTGCAGGATTACTGTTTGAGGCCAATCAGGACTAACATAGCAAGATCATGTTTCAACAACAAAACGAAACCAACCAACCCACCAACCAAATCATCCACCCACCCACCCACCAACCCACCAACCAACCACAAACCCTCTAAAACAAAATAAAAAAGGTTCTGTTTTAGGGGCTGGAAAGATGGCTTAGCAGTTAAGAACACTGGTTGTTCTTGCGGAAGACCTGGGTTTGAATCCCAGCACCCACATGGCAGCTAAAAACTGTCTGTAACACCAGTCCCAGGTGATCCAACAGACTCTTCTGACCTCTGAGGGCATTGCACAACTAATGCATCTTTTAATTCTTATCAATGAATTCCCTCATGAAATAGATGGCCAGGAATACAAAAGGCCACAAATGGCCAAAACGCAGAGAGTAAGAGTCTGCAGAGTATGGGTCCTTGGACAGATCTCCTATATTGAGGTCCACCCACCCAGGGCTCAGGGACCATTGTGGAAGAGGGGGCAGAAAATTTTAAGAGCCAGGGAGGAGGTACACAACCATATGGAAATGGTCCTACAGACACCTGGGACCCTTCTCATACAAACCAACTACAATGGTGTTAGCATACATAAGACCCATGCAAACATAGGCAGACAAAAATCCAGTACAGAACGGTGGAAATGAACAGCAAGTCCCAATCTTAGTCGAAGAATTATTGGCAGCTTATTACTGCTGGGTGAGGAAGAGCTGATCTTCTTGAAGAGAGAGACTCTAGTTAGGCTGACTAAAGCCCGGTAGATTGAACTTGCACTGAGGGACATCTTGGGATACTAACTTTACATAATAGGCCTTAATACAAATGACAGAATGTACGAACTCCCATGGGGGGGCCATGGGAGGTGCCAAAGGGAAGGGGGAAGAGGTATAAAGATGATTGTATGTATGACATACACAACAATTCAATAAAATATTAAAAAAAAAATACTCTGTGTGGTACAAAAAGGCAGACTTCAACCAAGGTATAAATCTCAAATGAGCAGTATCCAATGAAAAGCTTTAATATTGCTATTCAGACCCCTCTAAGCTTCAATATTCGTGCACATGATCTCATAAACTATTTTCACAGAAAATATAAGCCTAAAATAATCTGTCTAGTATATTAGAACACTTAAACATCTGAAAGCAATCTCAGTGACATCTGTTCAGGAGTGACAAGAAGTGACAAGAGTGGGAAGGTACAAGAATTGATAACTGACAATTTACTGGGTAAGAGACTACAAGGAAAGCTAAAGCTTAAGTTATTCTTAGGAAGATTAATTTACTTCTGTTATTTCACAATACACCCACTGTCCTGGATAGCTTCAGTTGTCAACTTGGGTGGGAATCTCAACTGAGGAATTACCTCCACTGGATTACCTGTGGGGCATTTTCTTGACTGTTGAGTGATATGGGAGGGCCAGCCCACTGTGGGTGGTGTCACCCCTGAACAGGTGGTCCTGTGTTATATAAGAAAGCAGACCGAGCTGGACGTGGAAGCCCTAGGGAGGCAGAGGTAGGTGGATCCTTGTGAGTTCGAAGCCAGCCAACCTGGTCTACACTGAGTTTCAGGCCAGTTGGGGCTACAGGGAGACTCAAAAAGAAAAAAAAAAAAGCAGACTGTGTACAGGCCAGAGGAGTAAGCCAGTAAGCAACATTTCTCCATAGTCTGTGCTCTAGCTCCTGCTTCTAGTTCCTGCCCTGACTTCTCTCACTAATGAACTGTGACCTGGGAGATATCAAGATAAAATAAACCCTTTTCTCTTCAAGCTGGTTTTGGTCAGTATTTTTGCCACAGCAAATGAAAGTAATGGAACACCCATATAGCATAAAAGGCATGTGAGGTATTACTGCACAAAACTAGGAAACAAAGGAAAATGCCAAAGTATATGTAAATAGAACTAAATGATTCACAAAGGTAAATGCTTTAGAACTGCCTCAGTTCTAAGAGAACTGCCATTATTGGGAATGGGACATAGCCCTGTGTTAGAGCCCTTGCCTAGCATGGGTGAGGCCCTGGATACAAAGCCCAGCACTACACAAGAGAACAACAAAAGTAAACGAGAATGGAGCCACTATCACTAACATCACTGCCAGTCTGATTAGCACAGCACCACCGTTAAAGGCAGGACCCAGTTGACTACACGCTATTGTAACAACAAAAGTAAACAGAAGAATGGAGCCACTATCACTAACATCACTGCCAGTCTGATTAGCACAGCACCACCGTTAAAGGCAGGACCCAGTTGACTACACGCTACTGTTACGCTCCCTTACCTCATTTAATGTCCTAACAACCTTACAAAGAAACAGGGTTAAACAAGTGAGGCTTAAAAAGTTTATAAAACTTGCCTAAGGTAGTAAGTAAAGAGCCAGCTAGCATTTGAATCCAGGTATCTTGACTTCAGAACTGTGCTCTTAACTATTAACAAAGGGTTGTTTCTTTCCCCAAAGGACATGAATTGAAAGGATGTTTTCTGAAATAACATCTTCCTACCACTTTACCTGTATGTACACTTACTTTTTTTTTTTTTTTTTTTTTTTTTTGTCTTTTTGAGACAGCGTCTCCCTGTAGTCCCAGCTGTCCTGGAACTCACTACATAGCCCAGGCTGGCTTTGAACTCACAGTGATCCGCCTGCCTCTGCCTCCCAAGTGCTGGGACCACAGGCGTGTGCCACCATACCCGGCTAACAGAGTTTTTTAAACTGTCAATATTTTGAGCTTTAAAAATCCTTCTGATCAGTTTCAAAGGCAGGCTGTCTTTACCTGACTGTCTGGGTACCATCGTCTTGCAGATGGTAAGCTCTTGCAGTATTCTTCTTAGCCCAGTCAATATGTTCTTCTTGGTTCCATGTCCCCACAACCACAGAAGTTTTTCCATTATCTTTGTCCTAATATATGAAAATATTTAAATTTTTTATTATATTCATTCATTCATTCATTTATTTATTTATTTATTTATTTATTTATTTATTTATTTATTTAGTGCAAAGCTGTATGTGAGTGGGCACACATGCCACAGTGTGTGGAGGTTAGAGGGCAACCTGTGGGAGTTGGATCTCTTCCTCTACCATGTGGGTCCCGGGTATGGAACTCAGCTTGTCAGGCTTGGCAGCAGATGCCTTTATCTGCTGAGCCATCTGGTTGGCCTTTAAAAAAATGTGATGATGTGTGGCTGGAGATAGCTTAGTGGTTAAGAGCATTGGTTGCTCTTGCAAGAGGTCCTGGGTTCGATTCCCAGCACCCACATGGAGGCTAACAACTGTCCATAACCCTTTTCTGACCGCCGCAGGCATTGCATGACATGGATGTATTTAAACACATGCAGGCAATACACTCATAAAATAAAATAAAAATATTTTAAAAAAATGTGATGATGCATGCCTGACATCATCAAACAGTCCCTGGTATAACTCCTAGTTCTTAACTTCATCCATACACTGGGTAACGATACAATGCCACTCAAACTCAGGGAATAGAAATTTAAAGTTATCTTCTTTCTCTGTTAAATCAATTCCTTCCTAAGACTTTTATCTTATGTCCTTCTAAAAAAAAAAAAAACAACTTATTATTTTTGTTTATACATTGTATATGTGTATGATGTATATCTAAGTGCAGGGACATGCATTCATGATGTTAAGTGTGGAAGTAGGTCAGAGGACAACTTTTTTTTTTTTTTGAGATAGGGTCTCCCTGTAGCCCCAGCTGGCCTGGAACTCACTATATAGACCAGGCTGGCCTTGAACTCACAGAGATTCACCTGCCTCTGTTTCTTGAATGCTGGGATTAAAGGTGTGTGCCACCAAGTGAGGCCAGGAGACAACTTTTTCTTTTAAAAGATTTACTTTTTATTTTTATGTCTATGAGTGAACCAGCATTTTTTTTGTGCACCGTGTGTTCAGGGACCAGAAGATGGTGTTAGAATCCCTGGAGCTGGAGTTACAGGCCATTGTGAGCTGCCATGTTGGTGCTGGGAACTGAACTGGGGCCTTCTGCAAGAGTAGTAAACATTCTTAATTGTTGAGCCATTTCTCCAGTAGCCTAGAGGACAACTCTTGGGAGTTGGTTCTCTCCTTCTACTCTGAGATCCAGGGACCAAACTCAGGTCATTAGGCATGCATGGCCTGCAGAGCAAGTGCTTTAACCTGAGTTATCTTGCCAATCATTTTCTCTTTAGTGTCTTCCTCTAACATTTTCACTTCCAGCACCTCACCCCTCTCAACCAAATATTTAATTGCTTATATGTACATTATACAATCACATACATACTACTGTGCTTTTTTTGAGAGGGGGAGAGTATCAAACCCAGGGCCTGTCTTACTAGGAAAGCGCTCTGCAGCTAAGTTTCACCCCTAGCACTACTACTGTGATTCTGAATTAAATCTTTGACAATATCTCTTCTGCGGGTTGAATGTCTCTCTCTCAAAACATAATCCCCAATGTTACGGTGTTGGGAGTTAGGACCTAATAGGAGCTAGTTAAACCATGTGAATTGTATCCTTCTGAATAGGATACAAGAGGAGGCTCTGAGGTCAAGCTCTCACCTGTTTATCCTTTTGCTTTCTGCCATTGGAGGCGGCAGCAAGAAGGCCTCACAGGTGCTTTGATAATGGACCTTCTAATGTCCAGAAAAGTGAAATCTAATTTCTTTTTTTTTTTTTTTTTTTGGTCTTTTTTGAGACAGGATCTCCCTGTAGCCCCAGCTGTCCTGGAACTCACTATGTAGACCAGGCTGTCCTTGAACTCACAGAGATCTGCCTGCTTCTGCCTTCCAAGTGCTGGGGCTACAGGTGTGCGCCACCACGCCTGGCTTATATACTGTCTTATAATAGACTTCTTTCCTTTCCTCTTCTTACTCCTTGCTGCCCTTCACACTTTATGCCAGGCAGTTATGCTAGGTGATAATATACTTCTGAGAAATACAGCTGAAAATCTGTTCAGGCAAATGCAATAGGCAGGGCCACTTTCCTAGTAGATGTTATTTCCTACTGGAGAACATAGCTATCACACCTTCCAGTAACTAGACTGTTAGTTCCTAGAAAGGGTTTAGAACAGCAAAGTAGAGTGTTTAAGAAACTTCATAGGGAGCAAGACTGCCTGGGTTTTAATTCCAGTTTTATCATTTATTTCCAATGTGATTTTAACCAAAGTCCTAAACCTTGCCTTTTTCTCCACATCTTGGAGTAATAATACCTACCTCTGAAAAGGTGTTTTGAGGATTAAATGAATTAACATGTATAAAGTACTTAGTACCTGACATACACTAAACACTGTTGGTTAGTTATTATTATTACTACTACTATTTACCCAAAGCACTGAGCAGAATCCACCAGAAAGTTAAAGGCTATATGTTCTTGGACAAATTAAATTTGGTAAAGCTAAGTGTGGTTAAATATATGGGAAAACAGCCACTTTAACAGGAGTATTAACTGGTTCAGCTTTCTGGAAGGCAATTTTTCAGTAAGCATACACTTTGATCTACCAATTATATTGCTAAAAATGCATCCTATGAACATACTGGCAAAACTATACAGGGCATGGTGGCCCATGCCTGTAATCCCAACACTTGGGAGGCTGAGTAAGTCTGAGGACAGCCTGGACTACACAGTGAGACCTGGTCTAAAAATCCCCAACCCAAACCAAAGAACAACAAATCCTTAAAAAGTAGACTAACATAGAACTTTAAAAATTAGTTCATTAAGCCGGGCTTGGTGGTGCGTGCCTTTAATCCCAGCACTTCGGAGGCAGAGGCAGGTGGATCTCTGTGAGTTGAGGCCAGCCTGGTCTACATAGTGAGTTCCAGGCCTGCTAGGGTTACAGGGAGACCCTGTCTCAAAAAGACAAAAAAAAAAAAAAAA